GAGAATGGAGGTGATGTCCATGCATGTGGTGTGCCTAGACATCTTTTCCTTTCTGCAGGGAGTGGGTATAGTGCTTAAAACCTACTTGAAATTATTCCAGTGCAAGGTATGAGGAGAGGACACCTCTTTGACTATGGCCACCATGTTGTCCTCAGTGGTCTGTCCATGCAAGGTTTCTACTGGGAGCTGTGACCACAGGTCAGCTGCTCAAATGGAAATGTTGCTTCTATTCAGGCTATTCACGGATCACGGGCAGGTTAAAACTGCCTCTGTCCAGTATCAGCTAGGACATGCTTGTAAGCCTTAGGCTGAGCTTTTGCTGTCCCTTTTGGCTGAGATCTGCAGGAGCCTGGATCAGCAGAACATAGTTTTAGATCCCGCTGAAAGCCCAGAGCACATGAAAGGGCCCAGAGCAAGGTGAATCTGAGCACTGCTCTGGTTTATTTGGCCATTAAATAGCCAAGGCAGCGGTCGGTGTTGGACTGGCAGTCAGAAAGCCACTGCTGAGCCAAACTCCAGTCCTGTATTTTGCAGTAATTAGCAAGTTTGAGCATGTCATTCATTCAGCCAAAAATCCTGGGAGATGACACAAGTCTGTATTTTATTGTATTCATTAATTTAGTGAGCCTGTGTATGTTGTATTTGAGGGAATGTTTTGCGTTCAGGTTCGTAGAGCTGAATCGATTCTATTTTACAGGAGACAACCCAGTTGTCCATAGCAACCTGAAATTGATTCCCCCCCTAGTCTACCAAAAGCCGTTCCCTCTTGAATCATCCCTTTAATTTAATACAGTGAGCAGGATGTCCCTGCATGTGGAAACTTCTTTTTTTAACACTGAGTAACCTAGGCATAAAAAATAATCTTATTTGAACAACAGCCCTGACTCTGTCTTTGTTGCCACTTGGCATTAGTCCTTTCTGTGCCATTTCCTTGTACTTCATTTCAGGTACTGGAGGCCATTATCTCTGTCAGTTAATCACCACTGCTGCCTCAGGGGGATGTCCCCCTGCACGCTGCCCTGGTTTACTCGGCCTCAGCTTTGTGGGCTGACCCAGTGTGCTCATTATGCTGAAAAGTCTGTTCTTTGTAGTGTGTGTAGAATCAGCCCTGTGCTTTCCCTTGACTTGCAGTGGTGCCCACACGTGGCACTGGTGATGCAGTGGCGTTCCTCGGTGCTCCTTGCAACGGGAATGCGCTGCCCAGCACATGTTCAGGGCAATGACATTGTTGTAAGGTGTCCCCTCCACCTGTTGCTAATGAGGATGCTCAGGGCCAGGAGCTGCCAGGGGGCTCTGCTGCAGAGACCCAGCAGAGACCCAGTGCTGCCTTCATCTCAGCGCTGTTGGTGTGGGCAGCCTGGGGCATATACAGGCCTGGAGGTAAATACATGCTCTGTGTTGACCTTGCTGAATAATTTAAACTCAGAAAGCATTACAATACCTGCTGCTTACAATCTTCTCTGGCTTGTACCCTTTTGGCTCTGGTTTCCTATACTAGGTCTCTGCTGTTGTCAAAACCTCTTTTTGTGGGTTTTTCCAGTGGAAGTGGCTGGTTGGAAGGTGTTTGGGAAGAATGGGAAGAATTGCCATGGTGGTTTGCTCCTATTTAGAAATCTGTGGGTGCCTGAGGACTCCACGGGAACAATTGCCTTGTCATAGGATTGCCAGGGATGAGGAATTTAGGACATTTGTGGTTTTGCTACCTGGAAGAACACTTGACTGTCTTTGGAAGACCAGCAGCTTGTGTGTGGTCAGTGCAGACTGCAACATTTTTCCACATTTCCCCATTTTCACATTATCCACATTTGCCCCTGGATTTTGCACAGAATGGCAAGACAGCAGAGACTTTCTCCTGTGCTCTTAGTTCTTGCCCTGCTTGTTGTAGAGCCATGGGAGGAGGAGGTGTTGCTGGGGCAAGGTGTGCCGTGGGAGCAGTTGTACCACCAGAATTGTCCCCGTTGGCTGTTCCACACAGAGAGAAGCAAGCTGCTGCTTGCATCTACACTTAGGCCATTAGCACAAATTGCACCAATCTGTGCTGTGAAATCTCTGCCTTTTCCTGGCTTGTTTTATGAAAAGTTAAAAAAAAAAAAAAAAAGGGAAAACGACATGAAATCGATATGGCAGAGGCGTCGGTTGCAGGTTCACCTGCTGTCACTGCGAGAGGAAGCCGTGTCACTTGACACGCCGGGTGTATGGCACTTGTTGAGAAGATAGTTATTTCATGTCTCCCTATTTTTCTTGCATCAGTCATAAAATGGTTTGTTTAATGTGCATCATCTGAACGTTTCACTGAATAAGCTACCCAAAAAGGTTAATCTCCAATTCTGTAATGCTTTTACTGTCGCATCCAGCTGCTTCAAAGACAGCAGTGTGTGTATCTCTAATGATGACTTCCAGATGCAGAAGTAGCAGAGGCATCTACTTCTTTCAGGTGCCAAAACTGAGACTTACAAGGCCTGTTTTTTCAGAACACTTCATGTTTTGTAGCACTGTACATGGTTATAGTACAAATCTCAATTAAAGGTTGAACAAAGAATCTTAATCTCTTCTGGACGTGGTCTTTCTGTATCTTAGCCAGAAAAGGCAAAGCAATAAGTATATGGGAAAAAAATGATATATGTGACTTTGCTCCTATCATTCAGAAGGTTTATGGCAGAGGCATAAACAGGATCTAATCTTTCCAAGTGATGCTAGGTGCCAGACCACAAAGCATCCTTTCTGGTCTCCTTACCATTGCCTGCCTTGCATGCTTCCCATCTTCTGAAAACTGAATGAAGGCAAGGAGACCGTTGTCCCACCTGGCTGCAGCCTCCTTATTGACATGACTTGGCTTTCATACACCACTAGCAAGTAGAGTCTTCAGGTCTCGGTGAGTGTGTGCCCATGTTGTCATTCCTCCTTTCAGCAGGAGTACTGCCTGCCTGAGAGATGGGTATGATCTGGCTGGGCTAAGCAGAAGTTCCTCGACTGTTGTCTGTAACTTCTGTCAGCAGGATATTTGTAAATTTAAATGCTTCCTCACAGAAGTATCAAAGGAACTAAGGCCACTTTTCAGCATGAACATGAAAGGCTTTCGTGCACTGGTGCAGCCAGGATTGCCATGGAGAACAAAGGCTTTTGCTAATCACTTCTAATGCCTTTCAAGTTTATGCCTCATTTTTTCCCCTTTTTCAGACAGCCTCCCAGAGTAGAGACTTCAGTGACTGACTCACCAAATAATTAACAGGAGGAGGACTCCATCTCTGAAACTTTTGAACACCTCTTTTAATTTTCTTAAACCAGCCAGCACTCTGGCCAGGATCCAATTTGTGTAATTACATTTGACCTAACTTAATCTCTTGGCAGTTTCAATTGCATGTGGTAGTTGTCTTGGCTCCCTGTCCTGGGCTGCCATTCAATGCTACTCCATGGTTTTCAACAGCTGTTGTAATTCAGCTGTAGAAATGGGTGTATTTTCTTGGTGGAAGCATTCCTCATATCTCTATCCTTTGCTAAACATCCTTATCTCGCTAATATTTTGGGAGGTGACGTGTCTGATGCTGCAGATGATCTTGCTGAAGTCCTTGGAGCTACTTTCACTCTTAAAGAAGAGCATGCATTTAGACTCTTAGTAGTTTGTCCATCATATATTTTGAGATTGTTTTGAGTTTTTCGTCTTCATTAAGAGGCATTTATTTCTTAGTCTCCTCAGCTACTGTGTGCTGCTTTAGGGACATTATTGGTGCAGGTATTCCTCTCTAGCATTGAAAACAGTACTTCTGTTATCAAATCTGTGTTAAATAGGAGTTTGTCACCTTCCCGTGCTGACAGCAGTTGGGCTGGCTGGCTGTAAGTGTTGGCATTGGTAAGAGTGCAAGTGATGAAGGAAAGCAAAAGCCCAGGGCAGCTGAGAAGGACTGCAGAGGGAAAAAAAAAAACATCCCAAGTAGAAACTTGGAGATGAACAAAGTGCAGTAGCCAAAGGAACAGTTGGATGGATGATGCATGCGAAAGAGAAGACCCCGAGTTTTTGCATTGGCACATCCTTAGATGTGTAACAGAAATCTTGTTTTCACAGCAGATGGCAAATTGAGTGTTGCTTGACTTCAGCCCTCAGAAAAGGTGTATTTGTTACAAAACCACTTGATCCTTTGGGACCAGGAGAAGCCCCTGCTGAGAGGAGACAGGAATTTAGATGAGATGGGGTGCAAAAGGTGATCTACTGCTGAAAGATGCAGTTGTGGCAAATTGTCTGCTACCATTTAGCTCTGCTTTTCTGAGAGTCTCCAGAAGTAGGATGGGAAATGTATTATTGCTGCTCTCCCTTTTTACTTGTTATCTCTCATGAAATTTGGGATGTTTTTGATATTCAGAACTCTCCCCTGTGTTTCCAAACACTACTCAGTGTAAATCCTTTCTTTATTCTTTCTACATTGTCACCAAACCCTTGGGTTCATGAGAAAGATTTTGTTTTGCTAGGTAGAATATCCTGAAGATGGAGGTAAGGACTATCTTGGGAACACAAAAGTTATTCAGCCATTCATAAGGCCTGACTTTTATCCTCTGTGTCTCTCCCATAATTACACACATTTAAATCTCAGAGTAGACTAGAAGTCTTGTCTCTGTTGGTTTCAGTGACACTGTAAATAAAGTCACGAGTGGTAACATTAAGATTTGTCGTCTGTCATAGTACATAAATGTTTGGAGTTGGAGCCATTTTATTTTGATGTGTGCTGTGTATAACTTATAGGTTGGCAGAACTTTCTGCAAAATCCATGAAGAGTTTCCTAGAACTGAGATTTATCAAACCCTTTTGGTGGTTGTCAGAGAAAGTGTGGCCAGGTTTGAGTGGTGGCTCACGATGTATCTGCAGTAATTGATGTTGCTTTTGAAGATCTGTTTGCATGTTAAATAATGGGGTGGGAAAAATTCCACTTCAGAGTTGTTGGGTTTTCCTTTACTATTGGACTGGACTGTCTACCATACTGAAAACAATTATTTTCTTTTCCATGTTTCAGAGTACTTTGTAACTGGGTGTGCCTGAATGCATCAGCCTTTGGATGTGAGCGTCTTCTCTTGAAACAGCCTCTGATACCCAACTGCCTGCTCTCTTGGGGTAAGAAGAAAAATGCACATGCAGAGATTAAGAATGTGGTTTGGGCAGAAGCAGAATGGCAAAGAGAAGTCAAGCAGTACTGGTGCCTCAGCTTGTAAATTTTGGAAATAATGATCTTGTCATGGAGAAAGGGAAAAAACTGTAAATCTGTCCACTGTAAATAAGACAAGTTATCAACTTAAGTTGCAGCAAGAGAAATTTAGCTGAGGCATTAGTGATGATCTCCTGCATTAAAGCTGATAGTTTGAAAGGCAAAGGTCAGTGTATCTGTGCAGAATGAGCTGCATGTTTTGATGATGAATTGATGCAACAGCAATTAACTCTGGTGCTCAGTGTCTTTGTTACCTGAATGGTGATGTTCTTCTGGAGGGAAGTGTAAGCTCAGTGAGAAGAAGAGGTTTAATCCTCTGTTGTTGGCATGCAGCATAAACTTGTGGTAAAAACAGGAGGTTGTATCAATTCTGACTCCTTTGTAGAAAGTTTCTGGGAGTTTGGTTCTCTTCTGTGGTCCATGTAAGAGATTTACTCTCAGGTGGGCAATCTCATCTGTTTTACTGTGACATGAGAACACAATGCTACAGCTACAGATATACTGAGCAAAACACAAATATCATGTGGAACGCAGAGAGATTGGAGCCAGGGCTGATGAAATGGAGGAGAGTTTAATTTTTCTTCTCTTTCTCTTCTGTTCTTGTTCTCCATTGTGTTTCTTTGTCGTACTTTGACAGCAAACACAGCAGGCTTTTCCTGAGTTTAAAAATGCTGGCTCACTAGCTGGGTCTTGAAATTATATCCTGAAGATGGCTGCTCCTTTAGTTCCCTTGCTTCTTCCTCCCTTCCCTGGGAGCTGCTGATGACATACTGAGCCTGGGCTCAGCAGCCTCTGAGCCATCAGACTGAGAGGAGTGGGGTTCAGGTGCTTCGTCTTCCTTGGTCTGGTGAAGAAGATCAATGAGATATCTGTCCTATCTCGCAGGACATCTGAAATTCAACCTCTTGTTGGACTTTGGTTTCTGTACTATTTATATTTCATTCTTAGTGTCAGCAAATACTGGTCTGCCCTGGAGTTACTCTAGTGTCTTATTGTTCATTATCGTCCTCTGCTTAGCAGAGATAAGCTGTTGTGTCCCAGGGGCATGGGAACATGGAAGAAACTTTCAAATAGTTCTAAGAAATGCAGATGGTGTCAAGAGAGAAATAAGGGATGCCTTTCTGAAGTCACCTTTTTACATTTTTTTTTTTCTCTTCCCTGCCCCTCCCTTCTTGAGCTTTTCAATTCCTGCAACTATCTGTTGAAATCTTGAAAGCAAAATGCGTTCATGGAAAGATACAATTTACTGTGTGCCCCCCTGATCTTTTGATCTCAGTCAATCAAATAAGTCCAAGACCTTGCAGTTCACCTTGTTTCAAGGACGGTTAATAAGTTGAGTGGTTGTGCCAATGGCAGTGATGGCTTTCCAGCCTTGTGCTTCTTTTATTGTTGTTATTATTTTTTATGATTCTGACCTTTTGGACTGGTCAGGGTAAGATTATTTGCAAAGAATACTCCATAAATATGCCTGTCAGGACCAGAGTTAACATTCAAGCATTGCTGCTTAGCAAAAGAAAACAATATGCCAAAGTTCAATTTAGATTTCCCTGCAGGGTTGAAAATAATGACAAGACTCACTTAACATGGCAGGGGTGAGTCCTGCTACCTCTGTGGGAGTGACTGCCTTATGATCCTGCAGCACTTTGCAGCTCTGTGCCTGGGTAACTTGGCGGCTGCACCTGAAATTTGGCATCTGGTGCTGGGGCTCACTTGGGGAGGAGGATCCTTGGGTGTATCTCCTGAATCTTGAAGGTGCCAGCTCAGTCAATTAGTAGTTCTCTTTGATTTTGCAACTGAATTTTTTTCCCTCTAATGCTGTACTCCTTGCTTTTGCTTGCAAATGAGGTTTTGTGGAGCTGCTCTAAGCTCTGTCCTGCAAAGTCATCCCGTTCTCATCCTTGTATTCGATCCTTGCACTCAGCACAAGCCAGTGTGTGTTCCAAGAGTGGCTTAGGAGAGCCTTAATACATCCTAGTATGTTGTGAGTTGTGGCCTGTGGGTTGGTTGCTGTGATCTCTGAGTGCTTTGAGAATCCCAGATTTCAGTGGGAATCTGGTTGCATTTTCCTTGCTGTGACTATTCATGGAAACAGTTCCTAGATGTCTCCCACTTAATGTTTGCCACCAAGGAGGCTTGCAGCATCCAGTGTCAAGAATCTTGCTTTACTGTCAGGAAATATAATGGTGATTGTCAATGTTTGTGCTGTCTTGTCAGCAAAATTGACTCCTGTGGCTGGGAGCAGCATGAGGAGTGAAACTGGGAGCCAGCAGCTGCTATTAAGGCATTAACCTGCAGTGTTTGAAAACCACACAGTCTGTTGCATAGAAATAGTTTGTCAGAAGCATGTGGCTCTTCTGAGGTTATCTATTCTTCCTTCCATAGATGAGAAAGTGAAGGTATTGAAGATCACTTGCTTTGACCACAGGAAGTTCATGTTAGTGGAGCTCTGAGGCTGGATCTGAAACCCATAGGTTTGACCAAAAAAAAAAAAAAAAAGCTGTGTGTGGTGAAAGGCAGCAAGTTCCCTGAAAAAATGTATGCTATCAATTGAGAAAGCAGACTGGGACTGGGTGGTGAAATAATGGTGCAAAAAGCAATGCAGCTTGTGGAAGGTCATGCAGCACCTCCATGCCAGACCAAGTCAGCAGCACTGTAACTTGCAGTGAAGATGGGTCTGGTTGCCTGTCAGCATCGACTGAGAAATTCAAAAATAAAATAAATAAATTTGTCTTTAGGCCCATCTTAAAATCCAGAAGTTGTTTCTCCAGCACCTGTAAATAACCCTTTTCTGGATTTACCTGCCTTGCTCATAATAGGAAAAGATATGGGGAAAAGGGGGGAACTGAGGATGGCAGAGCAGTGCCTTTGTTGTCTGGTGCCATACCCTCACAAGTCTGGTGGCCATACCATGAACTGGGGAGAGGTATTCCCATCCCCATGGACAGCTGCCATCCTTCAGGTGCTGAGGGGAAAAGCCCTTCTGTATACAGGAGTTTTGCATGGCCCAGAAAGCGACACTCTTTTTTTCTTATTCCAAAAGGTACTGGCAATTAGCAGCAGGGGTAATAGCCACCTGGAATTAAATTGTATGGAGGCATGAGAAATAGTAGGATATATTTAGAAATATCTATTGCATATATATATATACCTCTTAAGAAACATGTTGGAGATGCCATATCCATAAATACTAATAAGGCTGTTTGATTCCAATTTTCAGGTAAGATTAACATTTTATTGAGTATTATATCTGTCACATTCAATGCTTTAGTGTACCATCCTCTCAGGCTTATTAGCATAATTGCAGTGCTTAAGCAACAATAAAAAATTCAACAGTAAAATAGCGGTTAGCACAGGCAATTTGTTATCAAAAGCTTTTACTTAAGGACAGCTTTTGAGCATATTTATTATCCAGTTAGGGCTATACATTATTTTTATTTAGAAAAACAAGAGGGAAACATTGTAGGGTTTTTTTTTTTTCTTTTTTAATGTCTAAATCAGAAGGCCTGAAAATTGGTCACAGCCTTTTTCTGTTTCTTAAAATTGCTCAGCAAATTCATTTGGAGTGGGAAGGCAAGATAGCGCAACAAACTCTGGTCTGGAGTAGGACTGTGACGTTAATAACTCAGCAGAACAATTCTGTTAAATTCTGATGCTGACCTGGATTCCCTTGTTGCATCCCAGACTCTGAAGACACTGTCCTCCCCCTCTGTGGCTGATGGCACTGTCATCAGAGCAGCACAAAGGCAGGGGTGGTCCAGCCTCTTGCCCCGCCAGTGGCTGCAGCCCGGGAGTCAATGCAGCTGTGTGCTGCAGGGATGATGTACCTTCAGACAAGGGGAGGGACTGGATGGGACCTGCAGGAAAATGGACTTTGATTTCAGTGCTGGTTGTCTCTGAGGCTGGAGCAGAGGAGCATGGCCTGGCTGTGTGACAGTGCTGCACACTCCCTCTGTTCCTTTTCTCACTTTGAGGACACTTAAGGGAACAGTCCTTTTCCAGAAGATAAATAGCACAGATGTGAATGCACATCTGTTTGTGTGCATGCCCCTGCTCGTGCACATACACACAGAAGGTCCCTGTTGCTAACATGGCAAAATTTCATGTGAGTATTTTAATTTTCAACAAATTTTCTACGTGTATTTAAAATAAAAAGTTGTACCTCATAAATGAAGAAGTAAATGAGTTTTAAACAACACAAGAAATCCTTACACTAAGAGGTCCATCAAGAAAAGCACATGTTTATGGTGAGAGGAAGACTTGCTGTGATTGCTTGTGCTTCCTTTGCTGGTGGAGCCTTTTTACAGACCCTCTCTCTCTGCTTGCTTTTGCTCCTCCAACACCCTTCAGACCCGTAAATTCGTCTGGTTTTTTTGCTCCCATTTTGATTGTTGTCTAAGCTTACCATGAGGAGAAGTGAAGGCAGTGCTGCTGCCACAGGGAAGAAGCTTGTGTTCATAGTGAAACAGGATGTGCAAGCAGGTTGTAGGAATTGGGAAGGGAGCACATGGAAGCAGGTGAAACTAAGCTGGGCACATATTAGAGAAGTGATGTGCTTGTGGGGTCCTCTTCACAAACACCCTCTCCTGTGAATATGTAGAATTTGAAAGGAGCTGGTTGTTTCAGATCCTTTTTTTTGAGGGTGGGATAAAAAACCAATGTTATTATTCAGAGATAAATTGTGTGTTTCAGATTCTAGTGTAGTTGAATGTCTTGCACTGGTACACAGCTCACTCTCATGAAACTGCCTAGCACTGCATGCTCTTTAGACTTTGTCAACAGAGAGCTTGGTGAAGCTCCTGGGAATATGAATACACAGAAACTGACTAAAGCTAAACTTCCTGGGAACTTTGCTCTCAGGAAATTTAACTGTGATTTGAATTGCCATTGAAATATCTGCTCTCTGCCTCCA